TGTGTGTGTGTGTGTGTGTGTGTGTGTGTGTGTGTGTGAGAGAGAGAGTGATAGAAAAGTTAGGAACCTTGTTTGTGTGTATCTTAGCAGTTATTTTGAGGTCTATGCTATTTTTTTGAGACTATAATAAAAGTGTGATTCAAAATATCATTGATAAAGTTAGGGAAGAACACTTTTTGCTAAAGAATATTTACTGCATCATTGTAGTTTCTTATAGTAGTTTGTAAAACAAAATGAGCTTCACTTTTACCCTTTAGAACTTGTGGATGTATAAGAAGATGAATTCTATGTCTGAAATAGTCTAACTTAAAATTTTTAAATCAACAGTTAATTACAGAAGCAATAATAACAATATTCTCATTGAAAAAGATCTAAAAATTTAAAAATGGTCATTAACCTACTAAATCTGATCTTTTTATCTCCTTCATCCAAAATTTCCTCAGCCTCAGTTAAACTGTGCTTATGAAAATATTCTAAGTAAATATCAATTTGAAATATGTTTCAATAGAATCTTATATTTAAGATTTAGAAAAAGGCTTAGTTAACAGAAGCATCATTTTAAGTATGAGAGAAAACCATGAGTTAGTATTAAGGAGTTGCTTATCTTGTTTTATTTGTGAGGGGAAAAAGTAGTTTTATGAAACCCAAAAAAAGTCAACATCAGTTATGTATTGATATTTTGTGGTTTGACAATAGCAATAAATGATTCACCAATTGGAAATTTTGACTATTTTTGTAATCTCTAATGACCAAATGTACAGAAGAGAACTCTACTTTAAATACATGTACCTTCTATATTTTTAGATAAGGATGTTTTATAAATATGTGACTTAATGCTTCATGTTTCACTTTCTTTTGGTCATGTTTAGAATTAGAATAACAATGTAATGATTATTTTCAAGGCTATGAAAATGAGTCGGAGATCAACTGATGCCAGTCAGAGGAGTTTAGCATATAATCGAATTGTTGATGCCCTAAATGAGTTCAGGTATGTTTTCTTTAGCTTTGCATTATACAAAGTTGTTTTGAAATGTACACAGACAGATTTTATTACTTTTCTTTTATTTGCTATAATAAAATCTAATTCTTTAAATTTCTTTGGCCCATAGTGAATTGAGGGTACAATTCAGTAAACCATTGACTTCCTATGCTCTTAAATCTTAAATGTGATTAGAACTGAAGGTCAGAGGGTGCTTCGTTCTTTTTTTGAGCTCCTAAATATAGGAACTAGTTAAGTGCAATTTAACTAGGAGTAGTATCCTAATGTTCTTGGATACATGAAATATGGGGTTGTTTGGTTGGAGGGACCTTGGCTTTTGTTTTTCCAATTGGTTTTTTGGTTTCTTCCTTTCACTAATTATGGCACAAGGAATAATACCTTCCTTTATTGTTTTCTGGCTCACAAACTTTATGCCTGAAACTCCAACAACTATAGTCATTGAACTCTTAGTCTGTGAAGCAAATTTGTTGCAAACAAACTTGTACTGAGGATTCAGAGAAAGATAAGGGGGCCATATCTTACCTCTGGCTACACGAGGAGAAGGAAAATTCAACTCCACAAGTACCCAAAGATGATTGCTTTGCGGAAGAGGTTAAGCATGCCTTCACCCTCCATCCTCCTTTATCCTATTCTGACACCAAGCACCCCTCCCGTAGCACTCTACTTCTTTACTGGGTTTGACAATCATTTTCAATGTTGTCACATCAAACTTCTAGACAGTAGTCATGATATGGGATTTAGAGGGAAGTTATCAAGTTACAAGTCAGGCTCAGAAAATAGGGGCTCAACCCTTTGGTTCACATTGCATCTTCTCAGCCAAGCCAGGAGACATATCTTGCTCTATTTCTCAGCCACAAGGACCCTTGGCATCTACCCTGCTCTAGGGCAAGTGTTACAAAATGGTTTTAGCACTGATAAATGCTCACAGGGCAACCCCTCTCTGCAAGCCAAACTCCTGCCTGAAGGTACACAGCTTTACTCCTTCTGTGGGCTGGGAAGTCAGCTATTTTATCTGATGGTCTTCTTGCTATAGATTTGGCTGCCACCACTTCCTGGTGGTGTCTCCTTTCATGGCAGTCATGGGATTCTCTGTTCCTGCTTCCAAAATAGCTCACTTTATACCCAATAAAATGGCAAAACTGACCAAATTCTTTGATTAGAGCTCCACATACCTTTTTTGCTTGGCTTTATCGAATCATTTTGAAGCCCTGGTGGTGCAGTAGTTAAAAGTTTGGTTGCTGAGTGTAAGATCAGCAGTTTGAAATCACCATCCACTCTGTGGGAGAAAGGTGGGCTTTTCTCCTCCTGTAAAGAGTTACAGTCCTCCCCCACCCCCTACCATCATGACCCCAATTCTACAAATCCGCTAGACCAGAGCATGTACACGAGTACAGATAAGAGCTCGAAACACGGACCCAGGACAGATAATCCCATCAGGACCAATAATGAGAATAGCAATACCAGGAGGGTAAAGGGAAGGTGGGAGGGAAAGGGGGAACCAATCATAATGATCGACATAAAACCTCCTCCCAGGGGGATGGACAACAGAAAAGTGGGTGAAGGGCGATCGCGGTCAGTGTAAGACATGAAAAAAAGAATTTATAAATTATCAAGAGTTCATGAGGGAGGGAGCGGGAAGAGGGGGGCGGATGGAATGAGCTTATACCAAGGGCTCAAGTAGAAAGAAAATGTTTTGAAAATGATGATGGCAACATATGTACAAATGTGTGTGGTAAGAGCT